ACGGCGTCGAGCGATGGCGAACGGCGACGGGGACCCGCGACGGTGAACGGCGACTGCGGAGTGTGAGGCTCATCTTCGTATCTGGCTGCTGCGCGAAGGGGGAAGAAATGAATTAGTCAATTAGGGTTACGTTTTTAGCAGCCTCCCCTTTCATTTTCATTTTTGATATTTGATATATATATATTTTTAATTAAAGCAACCGGCCCAAATGGTAAAAGCCGGCCGAGCGGCTCGAGCGGTTCGAACGGTTAACCGCTTCGGCCGCTCGCCGACCGCCCCAAATAACCATTCCGGCTAAATAGCTGAGTCGAGCCGGTTTTATGACCGAGTAGCAATTTTGGCGGCTCGGCCGGCTCGGCTCGGCTTTGACAGCATTGAGTAAAAGTCATATGATATCACGAAATGGGAAGAGAGTCATGCACTACCTGTATTACTAATAGACATACCAATCCCATCATAGTTCTATCTACCGTAGTGAAACCAAGGGGATATATACTATGAAACAGAGAATCAAACTTTCTCCTACAAAATGATAGAAACTGACAAATACAAAGTATACAACCTTAATCATTTAGGCTAAAGCATGATAAGCACACAACATTTCTCTAGAAAGCACAAACATACTGTAAAATCCCATTTCAGTATGTTCTTCGGCATGAGTAAAAGTCATATGATGATCACGAAAAGGGAAGAGAGTCTTGTGAACTACCTGTATTACTAATAGACTTACCAATCCCATCATAGTTCTATCTAACGTAGTAAAACCGAGGGGCTATATACTATGAAACAAAGAATCAAAATTTCTCCACAAAATGATAGAAACTGACGAATACGAAGTATACAACCATAATCATTTAGGCCAAAGCATGCCATTATAGTCATGCATCACAGAACGTGAAATCCTTCTCATTAAGAATAACTACCTGGTTTTTTTTATGAATATAACGTCTGGAATAAATACAGCCGCCACCAATTCCATACACGTCTCCTTTCAGTTGCATAACCATTCTCAAAATTGCTCTCAAATAGAGGATATGGTTATTCACAAAATCAACTTATATGAAGACGAACACGAAATGTGAATCGACGATGCATAGACAAAGACACGATAACCTTCCAATTCAAAGATTAGAGTCCAGAATACCTTAGCAGCTATGGATTTAGCATATGACAAACTCTTCAGCAAATTGGATGACAATCTGCACGCAGGGAAAGTATCAGGAAATTGTGTAACAATTAGCTAGGAACATGACAACATGAGAATTTGGGGAAGCAAATGGTACCCTGCCTTTTCGATGTTTACACACTTTGGAAAAGAGAGGCTTGATAAGGTTTGTGAACCTTATCTCCATAAGGAAGAAGATCCCGAGGAACATCCAAATAACTGTCTATGCGTATTCTGCAATACGAAGAAGATCAGTTTTATAGTAGTACTAGTAAGCATGGCAATAAGCTTTATCGATTCCAATAACTCAAGCTTTGAAGTTTGTCAAATGAAATAAAGTTCATAATTTTTCTGAGCACGAAAATACCAAACAGAGGAAATGAGAATGACTTTAAAATGGAAGAGGAAAAAATAACATTGTATGATTACAATTAAATGGCTGCATCCTCCTTTACATAAGAGCTGAGAAGCTGCTTACCGTGTAGCCCAAACTCCAATTTAATATGACTAAGAATGAGTTCTGTGAAGGTAATACGACTTCTATCTTTGTTAACATCGTTGCTGCTACAGCAGGAGAAGGTTAACGCAAAGGAATCAGAGACTTACATTTTGGATTGCCAATTCAGAGGTAGGAAATAGCAGTAATTAAACCAAACTAATAAACATTTAACCTTGTAAATTAAATCAATTTGCACATAATGAATGATGAAGGGACATGATTTCGGTAACTCCCATCTCCCTAACCAATGTTATTTGTCCATCCTAAAAAACAAATGGCACTAAAAAGTAACAATGACGTTAATGAATACTAACCTGAAGGCAATGAATAAAAACATAGAGGTAGATGAAATCCTAAAGAAATCAACTCTTTAACCGATAGCCTAATCCATCGCGTTGATAGAACCAGCTTTCCATCAATGGCGGTGGGTTGCAATTCTTCCCCTGATCGACGAACCCTATAGTAGGTAAATATCAAGCAATAGATGGGTGTTTCAGTCGCAATATGAAGAAAATCACAGTAGTTTAAATGAAGACAACTCCGTCAAAAAACAGGTGTCGCCTGTCCGCCTCCCTTCTCCCTTCACCGCCCTTCCTGCTTTCCCCTGCTCTCGCAATCATTCTCCGCCAGGACTAATCGGTTAAGCGCCAGGTTTGGAGATCCCTTTGACAGATGGAGAACTTGGTTTTGCACATGATGACTCGATATTTACACATGTTTTTGTCCACCATTCCTGTACCGTTTGAGTCTCATCTCTCGTGTTTTAGGCCGATTTCACGTTAGGTTGTTCTTGTTTGTGATATTTCAGGTCCTAGTACGTGAAGGAAGGTTTGGGCACGAGTTCGGGGTCAATTGGACGAAGTTGGGACGTTTGACGAAAAGCTGGAAATTCCACACGGGCAGACCTAATTTCCACACGGCCATGTGACTTGGCCGTGTGGAATCCCATTACGCGGCCAAGCCACACTGGCCTTGTATGGGACCCCTTGTGGCCGTGTGGAAAGTTCAGGGAGCTCACACAGCCAGACTGGAAACCAACACGGTCGTGTGCTTCTGGCCGTGCAGCGTGCCTGAAGTCCACTAATCGAAACGCGGCGTTTTGACACTCACACGGGCAGACTGGAAAGCCACACGGCCGTGTGGTCGGAAAATTCTGGGTTTTAACCCAATTTCGAGCCAAAGGAGGGGGAGCTGGGTTTTTTGGATCCCAAGCACCCAAGGGACGAACCAAAGAGAGAGAGGGCGATTTAAGGGCATTCTTGGAGTGGAATTGGAGGATTTATTCGCCTTTGAAGCTCGAGGAACAAGCCCGGACTTGAAGACTGATCATTTGAAGATTCTTACTGCAGTCTCTCTCTTCTCTGTGGAGTAACTTCCCTTCACTTAGGTTTTGAGGAACCCTAACTATGTTTGTTTGATTGGATGATTGTATGAGTACTCTTACTTGATAATCTTGAGTTCATATTCAATCTATGCATGTTTTCATGATTCAATTCTGCTTTAGTCGAGATTATTGATTCTGCTTTGACCCTATGAGAGTGAATACCTGATTAGGTCAATAGAGCACCATAAGTTGATAGTATTGGATCGATTGCTTTAGTCGAGGGTTGATTCACTGCTTTGTATCGATTGAGAACCTCATTCGATAGAGGGAGTCTAGTTCAGATCGCCTTGATCGGTTGTTCTAGAGAAGGATACGTCCCTCTAGGGAATCGACTCAAGAGGGCCTTGATCCTTTTGTCGAGATTCAAGGTCTAGTCAAGGATTCTCCGCATTGTGAATGAAAGGGAAACAAGGTAGAGATCATCATTAATCATTAATCTGGCTAGTGGCTAGGGAGAATCATACCTAAGTGAGTTCCCAATCTGTAATTAGATTAACTTTAACTGTAGTTTGTTAGAGTAGTTTTAGTTCTTCCATCTTAATCTGGTTTGCTAGATAATGAACTGAAGTTGAGTAATAGTAACTCTAGAGACCCGTGGATTCGATATTTATTACTTGAGCTACTATACTGCAGTCCCTTTCATTGGTTCCACTTGGCCATTGTTAAGAGTTGTGTCATAGCGATTCAGCACACCTTGGATTGAGAGTACCAGAGAAGGAAGTTAGGAAAGGGTTTTAGAAAGTGGTGAAAGGCTGGTAGGCGACATACAAAGCAACCTGCGGAGTAAAGAGGGAAACCGCCGCTGTAGTGGTCGGAGTAGAAACCGGTGTAGTGGTTCTTCTTTGGGAGTGGAGGAGGTTGGTGGTGTAGAACTGTGTTGGATGCAGTTTCGGTTGAGAGTGCGGTTCTGTTTGGGAAGGCACCAGAAAAAGAGAGAGAGGGAGGCCGATTTCTGTCGACGAGAGAAGATGGAATGACCCCCTAAATGGGCTGTTAGTTGAGCCTGCTAAAATCACTCTATGGTAGGAATGACAATGAGGCAGGTCCGGGGCGTGTTTCTTGGTAACCAAACCCGCCCCGTGGCAGGTCGGGTCCAGATCGGGTAATTTATCACGGGTCGCGGGTCGGGGCAGGTCGACCCATTGTGTATGGAATTTATATGAAAATCATTAGAAATTTTCGTTATTTATATTATAAGATCAAGAAAACAAACAATATTATGATAAATGTAGTTAATTTCTTGGAGAAATTGAGGTTTTCACTAATTTACAACTTTATTATAGCTAAAATATGATGTAATAAAACGAAAATCCTAAGTAATTTGACTAAAATTACATGTAATTCAAGAAAGAACGGGTCGAGAAAATGGGACGGGTCAGGGTAGGTCGGGTCGATGAGAGTACCCATGCCCGCCCCGCCCCAAGACAGGCCAAACAGATCGGGTAAAACGGGTTAGGTCGAAATTGCCATCCCTACTCTACGGGGAGGAAAATTTGAATGGGGTTGCAGTCTTACTTTTCAACTATAAATGATAGTGTTGATTTGTTGGTGCAGAATCATCAACCGCATCAACTAATAATCAACTACTTATATTATCAATATTTTTTAATCAATTTCATTTACCAATGACATAAGACCTTGTTAACAGCTCCTTATATAATTTTTGTAACCCAAGTACCAGTTTCTTTATTATTTTAAATGAAACAAATAATGATCTTCCGTTTTCTCCATATAAAACACTACAAGGAACTTGCCCACTTGGTGTATATACGTTTCTTCTTTACGAAATAAACATACCTACACTTTGCCGTGGCTTAATAAGACACGTAACACATAAAAAAAGATACGCAACATACATAATTGGAAATGAAAAAAACAAATGCATGAGTAGTACTCATGAAGAAAGACGCATTAATTATATTCCCGCAATAACTCTCCAACCTTGATCATCATCAGAACTTGGACTGCATAAAGTTGACGGTGGCGACGTCCAAGGAGAAAGACTTAGCCAGGATGTCAGCACTGATCCCCGGCTGGGAACCAAACACCGCGTTGGCGATGGTAATGGCACCGGGGTTCTGGCTGGAGAGCGCCGCAATGGCGACGGCGGGCGCGTTCCAGTTGGTGTTGCGCTGGTAGTGGACGGCGTTGGAGGGGAAGACGAAGACGTCGCCTTTATACAAGGTCTTGGTGAAATGGTTGTTATTTGGGTTGGAGGTGACGAATCCAACCTCCAGGCTGCCTTCGAGAACGGTGAGGATCTCGGTGGCGCGTGGGTGCGTGTGGGGCGCGTTCTGGCCGCCGGGTGCGTAGTCGATGCGGACCATGGAGATTCCCAGCGTGTTGAGGCCGGGGAGCTGCGTGGCGAAGACCGGAGTGACCCTGGAGCCTTGTGCGTTGCTGGTGTTGCCTGCCACGTGGAGGCCTCGGAAGTAGAAGTCGTTTGCGGTGACGGTGCTTGGGTTCTTGCAGGCCACGCCATTCAGCAATACTGTTATAAAGTTGGAGTTGTTAGAAGATGGTTAATTATGAATTTCTTACGTCGAGATCGAATAGCTAGAATGAAAAGTTATACATACCTGAACTGGTGGAATCTGCAACGCAGAAGTCTTGGAGAAGGCTGGGATCAGCTGCCGAAGCAAGCTGCTGAAGTGAGAGGCAGCTGAGAGCCACCACGACGCCAAAGAAGAAGCTAGCAACTGAAGTCATGTCTGCGCTTAATGTTGAGCTAATTAAGGAAAGAGTTGCGAGTTGTGGATATGTTGAACGGCCACATCGGTTGCTTTATATACATAGGAGGAGAGAGCTGAAAAGTAAGAGAGTTCACTTGGTCATGGCCGGCCGGCCGCCCTTAGTGTTGAAACGGCAGTGAACAGTGGTAGGATACGCGTGCGGATTGGCCAAATGTGTGGACGGGGTCTCGCCGGCCGGCAGTGCTTTAACATATACTACTTTGGCATATCGATTCCGAACGGCCATGCCGAATTCAGAACGCTGTAAGCTAGCTGGTGTCCGCTTCCCTACGGCTAGGCTGTTATTGGCAGTTAGGATTAGGATTTAGGAACCACATAAAGTGTGTCTAGTATGCCTTTGTTCTTCACTCCAGCTCATCTAACATTGTTAACACGTTTTAGAGAGGAGGTCAAAATGTAGACAAGTAGTTGTAAATATATAGTGGTGTTAGATTGAAAAAGTTCAAATATGATACTTTTTCGAGGATCATCATGAAAAGTAATTGGGTACTAGGTGACATCACCGGGACAGGAAGATGCCTTCTGATTAATGCATTGGCGATGTCAAATGTTATAGTACTGACATTAAATTTTGTTAGCATTCTACTAACACTATTTCCAGCATTATGAACATTTCATTTAGTTGCTTTATTTTAACTGGATTGGCTACAATAAATGCGAAATTCTGAAGGGCTTGTCATTTCTAAAATTTTTAAAGATGAAGACTTACACTTCCTTTCCTTAATTAACTAACAACGACCACATGTATCATGAAGTAGACCATAAAACACATGGAGCCTGGTATGGACTGTTAAATAGATTTCATCATAAATACAACAAACACATCATAAATAATACAAAGTTTACCGGAAATCAAATAAAACAGACCAGAATCACACCATTGAAACAAGTGTATTATCTTGAGAGCAAGTTGGCATATCGCTACGGGCAGCCAGGAGAAAGGATGTTAGGGGCGGGACCCTAATGCGGCGTGTGTTGGTTTTGGAGGTATAAAGAAGTGAAGAATGGATGAGGGGAATAGGGATTGACGGAAGGAAAGGCCTAAAGGATAGCTGATAGCACCAGATTTGCACATGTTTACACCCTTGTTTCTTAACCGTTTTGGCTAGAATTTGTGGTGTCTTGGCCTATTTTACGCTAGGTTGTGTTATTTATCATATTTCGGGTTAATCGGAGGTCGTTTGGTCACTTAAAAGCCTCTCAAAAGTGGAGCTGAGAATGAAATACGGTCGTAATTCACAAATTACCGCCGGTATTTTTATGCCGAGCATGATGAAGTTTCACGTGAGAATTACAGTCAAGGTTTCCAAAATTACGACCGTATTTCTCCAGCGTCCACCTCGTATTTTTATGACCGAGGCTAGCCCTTGAAGAATGCTGAAGGAAAGCAAATTACGGGCAGACGAAGACTACATACGACCGTAATTTGCAAAATACTGCCTGTAATTTTCAAAATACTGCCAGTAGTGTTGGGCATATTCGACTTAACCAAAACGTGCATTTTGGGAAAATATAGGGGCAGGTATTTTGGAGTTTTTGGAAGAGGCAGAATCGAGTTGAAAGAGGCAGATTCGAGCCAAAGGAAGGGAATTCGACTTTTTGGTGAAAAAACAGAATTCTAGAGAGAGAAAGTGTGAAGAACAAACCCTAGGAGCTATTTTGAAGTGGATTTCTCACCATTGAAGCCCATATTTCATCCCCAGGAGTGAAGATTGACATCTCAGAGCAGATTATTCTCATTTTTATGAGTATGACTGCTTTGATTTCTGTTTTTCTCTCTCTCTCTCTCTCTCTCTCTCTCTCTATGGAGTAGACCTTTCTCTCACTTGGTTTAAAGAACCCTAGTTCCATGTGTTAGTGATTTGAATTGTAATGAATTTTGGATGATATAATGATTGGTTTTAATCGATTGAAGTGTGTTTATAGAGTCAATTGAATCCTGATCAACTTCTTTTGATTTCTACTTCAACCTGTGATAGATAGAATCTGATTAGGTTGTTAGAGCTTCTTCAATCGATAAGAGTGAATTGATTATACGAGAGTCAGTCAATTCACTGCTTTGTACTAGAATCTGATTCCAATAGTGGAGTTCTGTGTTAATTGCCTTAGCTTTCTATCGCGGTGAAGACAAGTCGTCTGCCGGTTAGTTTGTCTAAGAGGGCTTGGTCAGCTTAAGAGATTCCAAACTACCGTTGGATCTTCCGCAGTTTAATCAACAGTAAATCAACCAAAGGAAATTATAACTTGGACCTAACTAAGGAGCTCGGTGGACTCAATCCCGAGTGACTCTTATCTTGCTTCAGGAAACCAGACAATTTACTATTTTCTTTCTATTTAGTTTGAATTCACCTACACTCACTTAGTCTCGCTAGATAATAGAAGTTCACGGAGTAGGCAGTAGATCTAGACCCCGGGTTGATAAATTAAACTTACCCACTATTCTGCATTCTTAGACTGCGATTATACTTGGTCGTAGTTTGGTGTTGTGTCGTAGCGTGTCAAGTTTTTGGCACCGTTGCCGGGGACTTTTAGGTTATTGTAAAAACGTGAAAGTCTGTTACTTTAGCATTGCCTTCACGGGTTGGGTTTGCTGTCTGTGTGCAGGTAGTGCATGACCCATAGCCAGTCGGGAGATCTAATGTCGTTGGACCAAGAGCTTGAACGAACCTGCCGCAACTTCAAAAGAGCTTTGAAGGCGCGACTGGCTGCGGAGGAAGTATTGGAGCATCTGAACATAAACCATGAGGACGACATGGGTGAACCTAATAATGGTGGAGAGTTTGTCCTTGATGAGAAAACCATGGGATACTACTGTACCGCGAAGGCCGCAGACATGAGGTCGCCCATTCAACACCCTCAAATTGCCGTCAACAACTTTGAGGTGAGCACCTCAGTTATCACCATGCTGAAAGGTGCAGTGGTATTCTGTGGGAAGGTAGGCGAGTGCCCATGCTCGCATTTGAGGCGATTCAACGAGCTGATCGATGGGATCAAGATTAATGGGGTCCCTACGAACGCCATCCAGCTGAGGTACTTTCCATTAACTCTAGAGGGACATGCAAAGGAGTGGCTAGACACCCGGCCTCCAGGATCGATAACTACATTCGCTAGACTGACCGACAAGTTCCTTACCCACTATCACCCTCCATCTAAATCAGCAGACCTGCAGAAGGAGATCACCCATTCTGCACAGAAGGAGGATGAGACCATCCGGGATGAGTGCGAGAGATACACCAGTCTCTTCCTGAAGTGTCCCAATCATGGTTTCAACGACGCCTTCAGGGTTGGCACCTTCTACCGGGCTCTCTTTCCCGAAGAAAAGCAGCTGATTGACTCGGTATGTGGCGGGAACATGCTGACTAAGACGCCACCGCAGTTAAACCAACTCTTTGAGGAGATGGCAGAGCAAGGATATGAATGGGGTACTATTAGGAGGTCGAGGCGAGCACCAGGCCGGGGTGTACATGCTGTGGACACTAAGTCTTCTGATTTGGTGTAGGTTGTGTCTAAGCTGGTCTCAGCCATTGATCATACTAGAATGGCTCCTAGGACAAGACAGCAGCAGAGAATGCGTTGTTAGTGGTGCGAGCTCTCATCATACTGTAGAGGACTGCCAAGCCATGCGAGAGTCCAACACACTGCATGAGCATATAAACTTCATTAATAATGCTCGGCGCAACGACCCCTACAGTAGTACACACAACAAGGGGTGGCGCCAGCATCCTAATTTATCCTGGAGTGGTAACAACAATCCCAAGCCGCTGGGTTTCCAGGCTCATGGAACTGGTTTTCAAAACCAGAGACAACCATACCAGCCCCGCCCAGGCCAGATACAGCAGCAGTACCAGTAGCTTGGTGCATCTCCATTAGTCCCACCACCGGGCGATCCCGTGTCAGAACTGAGGGATCTAGTGACCACCTTGGCCATCACTAGTACCCAAAAGTTCAGCAAATTGGAGCAATTCATGGAAGTGGCTGCAGGCAAATTCATGGAGATTAAAGCTAGTCAGAGGAACCAGCAAGCACTCCTGCAGGATATGGACAAAAAAATCGGGCATCTGGCAGATGCCTTTGCTTCCAGACCGGTTGGCACGCTTCCAGTCCAACCCCTACCGAATCCCAGAAATCATAAGGAAGGGTTACACGCCATCATGATGAGAAGTGGGACTGTAACTGAAGTTGCACCGCCAAGGAGTGCAAAGAAGGTGACGCAGATAACCCTGAAGCCAGAAGAAGACTGGCGGTTGATAAGGAGTCAGAGGTTTGGGCCGCAAAACCCCAGTTAGTGATGGCCGAATATAAGCCTAAACTCCCTTTTCCCACCAGGATGCACAAAGACCGGCTAGAGGCAGAGTTCGGGAACTTCATGTCCATGCTTAGGAAGTTGAATGTTCAAGTGCCCTTCTTGGAGGCATTATCTCAGATGCCTAAGTATGTGAAGTTCTTGAAAGATCTTCTCTCAAAGAAGCAGAAGTTAAGCGCTTGCCACTGTGGAGCTCAGCGAGGAGTGTTCAGCTATTCTACAAAACAAGCTCGCGCAGAAGCAGAAGGATCCAGGTAGTTTCACGATCCCATGTCCTATCGGTAAAATGCATGTTGAGAGGTCCTTGGCGGACTTAAGTGCTAGTATTAATGTTATACCCTATACTTTGTTCAAGAAACTAGGTCTAGGTGAGCCAACTGCAACTAGGATGAGTATTCAATTAGCTGATCGATCTGTAGTTCATCCAAGGGGCATAGTGGAAGACCTCTTGGTTAAGGTTGGCAGATTCTTTTATCTTGCGGATTTTGTTATCTTAGACATCAATGAGAACGCAGAAGTGCCCCTTATGCTAGGTAGGCCTTTCCTGGCCACTACCAAGGCTCTAATAGATGTGCATAACGAGACCCTGATTTTGAGAGATGGCGAGGTGCAGATAACATTTTCCATTGCTAATAATATGACTGTTATCCCGC